CGCGATAATATTTTGGGCATGATGTATTCCATCAAAGGTATTACAATTGTATCAGCCATTTATTTATTTATTGTTTTTGTTTTTGTTTTTAGACAGGATCTCACTGTGCAGTTCAGGCTGGCCTTGAGCTCACTTTGTAGCTGGTCTCGAATTCTCAGTGATCCTCCTGCCTCAGCCTCCCAAGTGCTAGGATCAAAGGTGTGCGCCTATAATCAGGCTTAAATCCTCTTTTTAAAAACAAGGCTCGGAGAGCGTCATCAGTTGCACAGGCGGCCCGCATGATTTCTCCTGGATGGCACCAAGCCGACGTGCACTGTGGGGGGAACTTGGGGTGATGGCTTGCACACGACCATTTCCCCCTGTCTTCTCCGCATGGTGGCTATGGAGTCTTGGGGGGTGCCCTCCGCCTCTTCCTGGGGCTCCCAAGTGGTAACTCGTGTCTTCCTCTCTCCAGCCCCCGCAGGAAAGCCCCATGGAAGCAGGCGGGGTGCACCGCTCTGGGGAGGAGCTCCTCCGGGATAGTGAGAAGCCGGATCTGACTCTCCAGGCCAGTTTGTTTGTCGGAAGCTGCCCCACTTGTGAAAGCAGTGAGCTCGCGGGAAGCCTTTCCAAGAACCTTGGAGGCGGGGTGCCTGTAGGGGGCGCCCGCTGGGCAGTCTGCAGAGAGCCGTCCGCGTTAGACAGCTGTGGGCTCCACTTGGAGGTTCAGTTTTTCTCCATGGAAGACTTGACGCATTAGAAACAGTCCTCACAAGCTGAAGAACTGGACCCCAAAACTTTCTTACCTGCATGAAAACAAGTTGGGAACCCTTTCAATGACTTCTGACAATAAGGCACTTGAGCGTCTCCTGTCTTCATTTTTCTTTTTTTAAATTAGTACATATCTGCCTAGTGCTTCTATAGCTTTTCTGGTCTCCCCCCCTCCTCCTCTCTCTCCTCTCTCATCCCTCCCCTTTCTCCCCCTCCCTCCTCCCCCTCCCCCTTTTCCCCTCCCTCCCTTTCCCCCTTCCCTTCTACCTCCTCCTCCTTGTCTCCCTCCTTCCCTTTTCCTCTCCTCCTCCTTCCTCCACCCTCCTCCTCCTCTTCCTCCTTCTCTTCCCCCTTCTCCTCTTTCTCTTTCTCCTCCTCCCCACTCCCCTCTCCTCTTCTCCTCCCATTTCCACTACTACTTTTTGGGAATAGCCTTGCCACATGGCAGTCCTCCTGCCTCAGCCTCCACAGTGCTGAGATGACCCACCCAGAGCTCCACAACGTTTCCACTCTTTGGGTGGAGTCAGGACACATCCATGATACATTCTGATCCCTTTTCTCACTCCTGTTCCTCCCCTCCCTCCTCCTCTTGATTCCCTTCCCATTTGAGAAAGATCTGTTTGTTCACTATTATCTAAGTTTTATTTTGCTCATTTATAACTTGAGTTCCTCATAGAGAGAAAGCTGGGCTGGCCAGATAGCTCACCAGGCTAAGTGCCTGCTTTGGCAAGCGCAGGGACCAGGGTTCAATCCCTTACCCCATATGCTGCGCAGGCCTGGCCTCCAGGGCATGCTGAGCCAGTGTCAAGTCCAGGCATGGTGGTGCACACCTGTAATCCCAGTGCTTGGGAGCCTGAGGCAGGAGGTCACTGTGCAGGACCACCTGGGCGTCTCTCTTTGAAGGAGGGTGGTGGTCTCCACTTTGGCTCAGCCTGGCCTATTTCCATGTGTGCAGAGCTGGCTCCGATTGTCCTTATCCCTTCAGCCGGCTGTAAGCAGTGCCTATGGGTCCAGCCAAGGTGCCTCTGGCAGTCTTTGAGAGGACAGGCAGGGCTTCCCTGGGCCCCGCCGCTCCCGGTATGAGTCAGGAAGAGCTGGGATGAAGCCAGTGCTCCATGCGTCCGCTTGAAAGATCTCACATCAGAGCTGCGGAACGTGAGCTGTGATCTGAGTCGTGTCGTGCAGGTTACTCTTTCTGCAGAACCTTCCCTGCCTATTGCAGAGGTGACCTCGGCCTCACCCCTGCCCGGCTCGCAGCCCTCCCCTCCTTCCCGCCATTCTCAGTGTCACTCATCCTCAGGCCACTCCCCTCTTCGTGAATGAATAAAACCCCAGGTTCGGCCCTGGGTCGAGGCCTTTGTCCTGGATAGCCCTCAGCGTGGCTGGGCTCAGGACCCCGTGGCTCCGCACCGTTCTGGATATGTTATCGTGTCTTTATGCCGTGAGTTGCGCTGAAACTGGTCAATTGGAATTAACTCACTAGAATTCCAGTAACTTTTCCATGGATCACAAACATAAACTTCCCGGGTCAGGACGGGAGCCAGGAAGAGCTCTCTCTAGGGCACTGTTCGAGGCCAGCTTGGGCTACAAAGTAAAATCTTGTCTTGAAAAGAAAAAAAAAAAAAAAAAAAAAAATGAAAAATGGAGAAATAGAACTAAAAAAAAAGAAGATAACTGGAAAACATTGTAAAGATGCCCAATTTTTCCCTGAGGGCAAGAACGTGAGAAGTGCTGTGCTGGATGTAATAGTCTGATCTTTCCAAGTAGCTGATGCTTGTAGTTCAGTCTACTGGGTCCCAAGGTGTCCCTCGGATTAATTTGTTTTGGCTTTTAAAGTTTGCAGTATACTTCCAAAAATTAGCATGAACCAAGACCTACTGTGCTTTTCAGAAAGGAAAGAATAAAAGGGAGAAGACATTTACAAGCTATACTTAAAAATCATTAGAATATAACATCTGCATTATAATTATTTTTTTGTTTAATGTATTTGCTACAGGGACTCACTACACAGCTCTGAATTCCTAGTGATCCTCCTGTTTTCAGCCTCCCCAGCGCTGGGATTACAGGGGGGCACCACCATGCCTGGTGGCCGACTCAGCATGCTCAGGGAGTTGGGTGGGCTCAGCAGACGGGACCAAGGATTGAACCTCGGTCCCTGTGCTTGCCTAAGCAATCACTTGGTCTGCAGAGCTAGCTCACTGGCCCTTCATTATAATTATCTTTAAGGAAAAAAAAGTTGACTGGTTGTGGTGACATATGCTTGTAATCCAAGCACTCTAGGAGGCTGAGGCAGGAAGATCACAAGTTCAAGCCCAGCCTGGACAATTTACCTCTGTCTTTAAAACAAAAAGAGGGTCAGCTTCTCTCAGAGAGCAAATTGGTCAAGCAATGGCTGTGACTCATCCACATGGCTGACACTGACAAAGGATCTGCAACCTGCGGTACAGGGTTACAGGACAAATCTTGAGGGGACTTGACTGACCTTATCAGATACAAAAGTTACATTTCTTGTTATATAGGTCTTGCTTTATCCAGGTCTTAATCATCCAGCAGAAAAGTATAAAAACATATATAAAGTAGAGCCATATTAATATGCTGAGCTGTGAAAGACTCAGGTCAGCAACGTCTGAGGATAACCCGCTACTGTTGCGGACTGCTGGACTGTGTTGGATTGTTTTGCTGAATTCACGCACCTATGGTATTTAGATGCCAATGGAATACCCATCTCTGACAGGACTAAACAAAAAAAGGGATACAAAGGAAGGACCATTTTGTATTTGTATATACAGAATAGTTAGGATAGATATACAGCTACTTTCGCTTAATTCAATGAGAAGAAAAATTTGTGCTAATAGTGTTTGGACAGGATATCCTGTCTGCTTCTTGTACTATGGTTAATCACTAAGAAGATAACAATGTACAATGTATTAATTATTATTATTAATATTTATTTATTTATTTTTTATTTGTGTGTGGCCAGCTCAGCCCACCAGGGGGCGGGGCTGTCTGGCATGTGGTGCTGGGGGATTGAACTGTGGTCCCTGTGCTTTGCTTAGCTTAGCTTGTTCTAAGTAGGTGCTTTAGACCACTGAGCCATCTCACCAGCCCAATGTATTAATTATTGAAACTGTCCTATTAATCAGCTTTGAAACTGTCTCACTGATATTTCTTTCTCAATAAAATAAAATAAAATAAAATAAAATAAAAAGAGGGCCAGCAAGATAGCTCAGCAGACTAAGCACCTGCTTAGGCAAGCTCAGGGACCAGGGTTTGATCCCCAGCACCACATGCCACGCTGATTCACCCCCGGGCATGCTGAGCCCATCAACGAGACCAAGTGTGGTGGTGCATGCCTGTAATCCCAGCGTTGGGGAGGCTGAAAACAGAAGGATCACTATGAGTCTGAGATGGCTAGTGAGACCCTGTACCAAATACATAAAAATAAATAAAAATAAAACAAAAAGGACTGGGGATGTAGCTCAGTGCTAAGGTCCTGGTCCCTCCCCAGTAACCACCTGCCCATGATCAACCCAATTCAAAAATGAACAAAATGCCAGTTATGGCGGCACATGTCTATAATTCCAGCACTTAGGAGGCTGAGGTAGGAGGATCTCTGTGAATTTGAAGTTACCCTGTACTATGTAGTGAGTTCAAGGCCAGCCTGAACTACATAGGAAGACCCTGGCTTGAAAACAATTTTTTAAATGGGTAAAATATTTGAATGCACGTTTCCGCAAAAATACTTAAATAGCTAATGAGTACATGCCCAACAACATCAGCTGTCAAAGGGATGCAAATCAAAACCACAGTGAGGTGCCACTTTGCATTCTCAGAGAGCATTAACATCTTCGACATCAGGCAATACCAAGGCAAGGACACCACGCGGCAGGGTGGGACTGTGAAACAGCACTGCCACCGTGGGAAGCATTGCAGGAGTTTAAGACGCTCAACATGCAGGTGCTATGACCCAGCAACTCAGCTCCTACACAGAAACGCAGCAGGAGTGAATGTACAGGTCAAAAATAACCCCTTGCACATATTTGTATCAGTATGAGTCATAACTACTAAGTGGTGGGAGAAATTCCAAACGCACAGCAAAGTGGTATAGACCAAAAACATGTAACTCCCAACCTGCTAGATGTCAGACAGATACAGAGTTCATGCTCCCCGAACTGGAAGGCTGCATTCTAAGACAATGGAGGTCAAGAGTAGGAAATGTACTGAGACAGGAGGGGTCCCGAATGCGTTCACACGAGCCCACTTGACTGAGAAATTTTATAAAGTCACAAGCTGGGTACAATGTGGATCAAAACTTTTTATTTTTTAAATTTATTTATTCTTGTATTTTAGTTAAGGGTCTACAGGGTCTCACTACGTATATTGGACTCCTAGTGATCCGCCTGTGCTCAGCCTCCCAAGTGCTGGAATTATAGGCCCACACCACCACGCCCAGTCTCAATCGCTGTCTCAGCGTGGCCAGGCACAGCATGCTGCGAATCAAAGCTCGGCCCCTGTGTCTGCCTAAGCAGGAGCTTTAATCCGCTGAGCTGTTTGGCCAGTCCTGGATCAAAACTATAAACCAGTAAGATTACAAGTATGGCCTCTGGGGCTGGTGAGATGGCTCAGTGGTCTAAAGCACCTACTTGGAACAAGCTTGGTAAAGCACAGGGACTGCAGTTCGATCTCCCAGCACCACATGCCAGCCAGCCCCGCCCCCTGGTGGGCTGAGCTGGCCACACACACACACACACACACACACACACACACACACACACAAATGTTAAAAAAAAAAAAAAAGTATGGCCTCTTAGCCAATGTGGAGCAAGGGCATAGCGTGACATCATCCACCTTGGTCAATCATCTCTAGTCTGTCTGTAGTCTTAAACCTTAATGGGAATAGATGGCTCACCCCTAACAATAGTTCATTTATATGGGAAATCTCAAAAGGTTGGTACCGATAATCTCAAACTTCCTTTTTTTTTTTTTTTTTTTTTTTTGTCTTTCTCTTTTTGAGACAGGGTCTCACTATGCAGTTCAGGCTGGTCTTAAACTTGCAATGATCCTCCTGCCTCAGCTTCCCAAGTGCTGGGATTACAGGGGTGCCCCATGATGCCTGGCAAACTTTCCTTTTTCCTTCGGGAAGTTTGTAAATCTGGCCACTGTGACTTTAATTTTCTTCAGTCCCAGTGTTCCCATCTGTAGCACCTCGAGGGCCTCACTCTGTCTGACTGCCTGTAATATTTCTACCTATCTTGGCTGTCTAAAAAAGGATGAACCTACCAACAGTGTGTGGTACATCCACACGGTGGCATGCTCCTGCACAATAAAAAGAAATGAACTGTGGACACATGCAGGCTGTTCAGCTGATGAAGTCTGACACAAAAGCTTTTTGGTTTTTGATTTTTGGTTTTTTGAGACTACAAAGGATCTCTCTCTAAAGTTCAGGCCGGCCTTGGACTCCCTGCGCAGTCCAGGCTGGCCTCAGGCTCATGCTAATTTTCCTGCTTTAGCCTCCTGAGTGCTGGGATTGCAGCTGTCTGCCACTGCATGTAACAATAATCTGTGAGTCCATTCATTTACCAGAAAAAAGCAGATGGGTGGTTGGATGGAACTCGGCATAGATCTGACCTCACAAGCATTCTAAGGACCTTTCAATGGAGTGGACCCATTTCAGCAGCAGCCTGTGGTGATGTTCATACAGCACACAGCTGTGTGAACTCATGGACAACTCTGGTTTTGGGTGGAACCAGGGATTGAACTCAGGCCCTTGCGCTTGCCAAGGAAGTGCTTATTCCACTGAGCCATCTCCCCGGCCCCTTAACATGTGCCTTTACAACTGGTCTTACGGCATGTAAATGATAGCTCAATCTGGGCAAAATAAAATCCCAGCTAATTGCAGTAATCTGTCTTCTGCTGCTATAACAAAATACCTGAGGATGGTACCTACAGATAGGAGGTTACATTTTGGGGTTTGGTTTGGTTTTTCTGTGACAAGGTCTCATCACATGGTTTTGGCTGGCCTTGCGCAGTGTGTGACACAACCACATGGCAGCGTGCTCCTGCACAGTAAAAAGAAACAAACTACAGACACATGCAGGTGGTTCGGCTGCTGAAGTCTGACACAAGTCTTGAACTCCCAGTGTTCGTCCTGCCTCCCTGCCTCTCCAGTGCTAGGATTACAAGGCATACACCACCACACCTGGCAAAAAAAGTTATCCAGTTCAGAGTCTTGGAGGTTCAAGGGCATGGATCTGATGAGGACCTCACGTTGGATGGCAGCAGCAGAGAATGACAGGGAGAGATGGGGGGAGACATACAAGGGGGGATGATCACGTGAACACACAGTAGGATGGGAGGCCAGAGGGAAGGGAGGGGCCGGTTTTGCCATTTGGGGATTTTTCAAAACAAGGATTTTACTAGCTGAGCATGGCGTCTCATACCTGTAATCCCAGCACTCAAGAGGCTAAGGCAGGAGGATCACTGTGTGTTCCAGGACAGCCTAGACTAAAAAGACAAGGTCTTACTATGTAGTCTGGACTGGCCCTGAATTCACTATGTAGCCCCAGGGTGGCCTCAAACTCGGGACAATCCTGCCTCAGCCTCCCAAGTGCTGGGATAAAAGGCAGGGGCCATCTTGCTCAAAGGGTCATTCTATGGTTTTTGAAGAACCAGAAAGGCTTTTAGATGATTTCTCATCTCAATTTCCAACTATATGCGAAAGCTGCTGCTGCACACACGCACGGGAATCGCTCTATTCTATATACTAACCACAGAAGCCACGAAGAGCAGGTAGGACGCAGCGCCCTGGGAAAGTCATGCTACGGAAGCTCAGGAAATGAACTCGGCAGGTTTCAGAGTCCGTGCTGGGGGAGCAAGGCCCTGCTTGCTCCCTTCTCTTCTTCAGGCTTCTTTGTGAGAGCCGGCACTACAGCACCAACTCTGGGGTCCTGCCAGCTCCTCGCTGGGGATCTCATCTTGGAGACCACTGGCTCATGGGGGTGGGGGTGATCATCTTGGGTGGACCCCTGCTGGCCCCCCTACCAGTCCCTGCAAAGGCCAGCAAACCATCTGCTGCTGTGGTCGGGGCACCACGGAACCAAATGAGGTCACAAAGGCTGGATGTAGACAGGAACATTCTGGATGTCCAGCCTGCTTATGACAAAGAAGACAGAAACTGGAGCTGGTGACAGAGAGGGGTGGTAGTGTGGGGTGGGTGGGAAGCATCCTGGGGCCATATCTATTCCAGCTCCTCCAGACATGAGCCGGGCAGCGTGCTGGGTGGGAGGTGGGCGCTGAAGGTGCTAGGTGTTTTCACATCACTCACGTCCACCTTTGCTCATTGCCTCCTGCACTCCCCCTACCCTTCCACGCCAGCCCAGACAACCTCTGTCACCTTGGTCCTTCCTCCAACAGACTCCTGCCACCTGTCCGAGCCTTCCCTGCCCACCCCAAGACTAGGTGCGCATCCACATCCTTCCCACTGCTCACTGCCTGGACGGTTGTTAGGGTGATGCCCTGTTACCTGCAAACTGGGTGAGACGGTGAGGCAGGAGGCAAAGGCGTTATGGACACCATATCCTTGGACAGGAATCAGAACCCATCAGATGGCAGCATTCTGCACGCAGAAAACCAGAGGTTGGGCATCCTTGGTTCCCTGGTGGGTAGGAGAACCCCCAAGACTGAGGGGGAGTGGGCTCGGCTAGTGCAGGAACCATGGGGTGTCCTAGCTGTCCCTTAAGGGCAGGTCGCCCAGGAGAGGGCAGACGGGAGGGGCCGTGTCCCTCCACGTGGCCAGCATCTGGGGTCAGCCTGGGCCCTGGCGTCCCGTGGCTGAGCTCCGCTTGCTGGTGGCGCCTCTTGATCCCCTCTCTGGGGCAGTGCATCTGCCACCCGTCCCTGTTTTCCCACGCCTTCCCATCCTTCCCATCGCCACCAGGATCACCCTCTCCTCTGTGCGCCACCCCTAGTCCCCGTCGGCGCTGAGCCCCGCCCCCCACTTCAGCAGCTACTGGACCACGGAGCGAGACGGCGAGGTGCGGCTTCGGCTGGGCAGGGACACGAGTGACCAGCAGGCGCCGCTCACCGTGCACGACATGGTCATGCACTCGGCCATCAAGTACGCCAACTACATCGCGCTCGGCACCAAGCGCAGGAACCACTGGCACCTGATCACCTACGTCCAGTACTACGAGCTGTGTCGCCGCGCGGCCAAGGGCTTCCTTAAGGTACCGCGAGGGCGGCCTGCGCCTGCGCGCCTTCCCGAGTCCGCCGCCCCACCCCCTCCCCCGCGCCTGCGCACCTTGCTGGCCTGCGTCCCTGCGCCTGAGCAGCTTTCCGGTCCTCACACACACAAAAAAACCTCCCCCGAGTCACGTGCTCAAATGTGCTTATCTTTGTGCGCCTGCGCAGCATTGCTTTCTTGGGGAGCTGTGTATCCCATCTATTGTTCATGACTCCTGAGAACTAGATTTACAGGTGGTAATTATGTTCATGGGTTCGAATTCCAGCCCTACCAGGAGCCACGGGTTCTTGTATGAATTATGCTGCCTCTTTGTTGCCCAGCTTTACTATATGTAAGATGGAGATTTGCATATCAAATAAATATAATGTATAAAATGCAATCCTGACCACGGATATATATGTAAAATAAATGGTTGCTATGATATTATATATATATATATATATATATATAGTTTAAAGCATATCTAACCTATAAAATAGACCTACTATTCACATATTAATCTCATACATTTGATACTTTCATAATGTGTCTAGTATAAAATGCATTATTTTATACATCAGTTAATATAGATGTCATAAATTATATTGATAAAATCATAATATTTGCAAATAAATGTAAATATTATCAATAAACTATGCAAAAGCACTTAGCTTGAAGATTTGCAGCAGGACTCAGTGGTTGACTCACGACGAACAGCTCTACAATTTGCTTTTTTCAGAAGTTTTATCACTATGTAGTGCAGGCTGACTCGAACTCACAGCGATCCTCCTGCCTCGCGCTCCAAGTGCCAGATAACAGGCCCACGCCTCGGCGCCCGGCTTGCCTGTCATTCTTACAGTGATGGCTCCTTTTTGGCCTCCAAGGCACGGCCTTAGTGAGGTCCTCAGAACCCACACCTCTCTTTTCTCCTCTCCTATTACAGCTTCTTGAACCTCCTCTCTCTAGGATGTGGAGATGAGGCTCAGGGGCAAAGCCTTTGCTAGCATGGACAAGGGTCTGGGTTCATTCCCCAGCATTGCAAAAAACAGAAAGAAAGAAAGAAAGAAAGAAAGAAAGAAAGAAAGAAAGAAAGAAAGAAAGAAAGGAAGGAAGGAAGGAAGGAAGGAAGGAAGGAAGGAAAGAAAGGGAGGAGGGAAAGAAAGAGAAAGGCATCCATAACGACCTGGATGCATATTCACTGTTTAGCACCATGAGGACAGGAAGCTGGGACTGCTTTGTGCTAGTACTGTTCCCACGCGGGTGTTTGTAGACTGAATGCGTGTCCTGCCCCCGCCCCTGCATGCTTTTCTGTTTTGTTTTGAGGCAGGGTCTTGCTTTGCACTTCAGACTAGTCTTGAGTTCACCTTGTAGCCCAGGCTGGTCTTGGACCCCCAGTGATCCTCCTGCCTCAGCCTCCCGAGCACCGGGAGGACAGCTGTGTGCCACCACGCCCATCTGAATGCCTACTTTTTAGGTTAGTATAGAGAATAAGAGACCTCAAATGACTTACCTAGTCAGAATAAGAAACCTGGCATCCCAGCATTCAAGAGTCTGAGACAGGAGGATCATTGAAAGTCCTAGGCCAGCCTAGGCTATGTAATGAGTTCAAGGCCAGCCTGAACAGCTATGTAGAGAGCCCCTGTCTCAACAGTGACAGTAAACACTCGAGGTCTTCGGGACAGTAATATAACCCAGAGGACAGTGTGTGTGTGGGGTGGAAAACATAAAATACAGTAGGTGAGGAGAGCCTCTCTGAGAGAAGCTGACATTTCAGCAAAGACCATGTGAGGGAGAAGAGAGCCACAGGGAGATATGCAGGAAGGCGCCCCAGGCAAAGGCCCTGGGGCAGGACAGAGGACCACGATGTCACAGGAGCAGCAAGGAGCCCAAGTGGCTGAAGCCGAGGGAGAGGGGTAGAGAAACAACAGGGGAGGTAGGGAGAGGACCGGTGGCCATGCAGGGCCCTATGGGTTGCAGGGGGGCCTGGCCTTTGGGTCCAGGAAGGTGGGAACCGGAAGGGCAGAGGGCAGAGGAAGGAGGGCCGTGCTTGGTGCTGCAGCTGTGGGGACCAGGTAGGACGGACCAGGCAGGCACTGGGCTGGAGCAGGTGTGCCCTGCAGGCTGGAGAGGCACCAGGCTGCCAGCTGTGTCAGTAGCTGTCACGGAGGGAGCCAACTTGGGGTCAGCAAGGGTCCGCAGTTCCAGTGGGGTCTATTGGGTCTGAGACACCTGTTAGATGACCAAATGGCAAGGGGCAGTTGTGTCTGAGAGTCCAGAGTAGTGTGGAGAGACACCCCCAGATCCAGGTGGAGCCATTGGGCCCACCAGTGACAAGTGAGGGGCCTACACGTGCACCAAGTTGGGCTGTCAAGGTCATGTGAGCACGTAAAAGCATAGAGCACAGCTTGGGCTCCAAGGTTGCTTTCGGAGATGGCGTCTCGCCATGCAGTCCAGGCTGGCCTTGAACGTGCTGATGCTGCCCAGGCTGGCCTCAAGCTTGGGACGGTGCTCCTGCCTCAGCCTACTGAGTGCTGGGATGACGGGTGTGTACCACCACACCCGGACCAGCATTTGGTCTAGTAAAAGTGAAAGAAACATTTTAAAACACCACAGAGCAGAGGGAGGACAGGCTTCTCCTCCCAGCCTCAGGCAGGCCAGGGTGGTGGTGGCTGAGGCCCACAGGGCCTCACGAGAGTGTCCCTCCGGCAGCTGGGCCTGGAGCGCTTTTGCACCGTGGGCATCCTGGGGCTCAACTCAGAGGAGTGGGTGATCGCCAGCATCGGGGCCATCATGGCAGGGTAAGGAGAGGCTGACTGCCCATGGCGTGCCAAGGTGGGACACCTCTGGTGTGCCCCTTCTGGAGACAGTTGGGGTCTTATCGTTGATTCCAGAGCAGGGAGATGAGCTCAATGTGTTTGTCAACCCAGTCCTGAGCATGCTCAGTTCACCCTTCTAGCTAGACATTCTCTGCCCCCAGAGAACTCCTGCGCTTTCAGTGAAGCCCAGCCCCCTTTCCCTCTCCAGAAAACCCTTTACCCCCCTCAGGGTTCCCAGCACTGAGTACTCCCCCTACCAGTCCAGATCATTGAGGGAAGCCCTTCAGGCAGAAACCAGACCCTGGTATCCCTCCTGAGCTGCCCCCTCAAACAGGGCGCTGTGCATGTCAGGTTACTGGGGACTCCCAAACCTCTCAGTTCCCAGAAGCACTCGCCACAGGCCTCAAGCCCCTGGATTCTGCTTCCAGAGGCATCTTTGTCGGCATCTCAGCCAATACCTCCCTCAAAGCCTGCCAGGTCATCGCCAAGAACTCAGAGCTAAATGTGTTGGTGGTGGACAGCAGTAAACAGCTGGAAAAGATCAACCAGGTGAGCGCCTCCCAGGTCAAGGAGCCAGGGAAGGCAGAGACCACACCTGAGAGAGAGGGCAGGGCGTGGGGGCACATGCTTGTCCTCCCAGCACCAGGAAGCTGAGGCAGGAGGATCACTGAGAGTTGGATCCCAGCATGGGCTACATAGTGAGTTCAAGGCCAGCCTGGGCTACATAGTGAAAGTTTGCCTCCAAAATAAATAAATAAATAAAGAAGAAAGAAAGAAATGGTCCAAACTGTTCTTTTGTTTTGTTTTTTTGGTGGAACCGGGGATTGAACTCAGGCCCTTGCACTTGCCAGGGAAACGCTTATTCTACTGAGCCATCTCCCTGGCCCCCAACCTGTTCTAATCATATGTTTTGCTCCATTAAGAGCACTGTGATTAGAGACAGGGATTTAGCTCAGTGGTACAGCACTTGCTTGGCAGGTGTGAGGTCTTACATTCGATTCCAGACACCCTCCACAAAAAAAAAAAAAAAAAAGAAAAAAGATGAAGAGCACCATGGCGGAGCACATGTGTGATCCTTGTGTTCTAGAAGGCTGAGGCAGGAGTGTCCCAGGTTCAGCCCCAGCCTGCACAATGTAGTGACTTAGCAAGACGATATCAGGATGAAAAGTGCATGCTGGGGACGGAGCTCAGTGCACAGGTCCTGGGTTGCCACCAGTACCGCAGGGTGGGAGCAGCAGCCGGGGGTGGGAGGCTGAGGCAGGAGCCTCGCAAGCTCTGACCCGGCTCTTGCAGCTCGCCCAGGCCCCACCTCCAAATAGATGCATAAAGAACCCGTAGTGCAGCTCTGTGGTGAGTGCTGGTTTAGCAAACCCAAGGCCCCAGACTTCATCCTCAGAACTAAAAACAAAGAAACAAGATTAGAGTCCCTCCCCTGGGCACCTTGGGCAGGAGCCCAGGCAGCACCCAGCTGGGTGCCCCGGGGGTGGTGCTGAGCCTGCATGCCCTGCAGATCCAGGGCTCCCTGAAGCACCTGAAGGCAATCGTGCAGTACGAGGAGACTGTCCAGACTGCGCACCCCAACCTGTACTCAGTATGCATGCCCTTGGTGACGGCGAGGCCCCGGGGTCCCCACCAGGACCACAGTGCTGAAGGGGACTTGGGGCGGGTGGCTTCCAGGTCAGCTCTGCCCCTGCCACCCACTGCTGGCCTCTCGGCAGTGGCAAAGGTTCCTGGACCTCGGCGGAGACATCTTGGATGAGGTGCTGGACCACATCATTGACTCCCAGAAGCCGAACCAGTGCTGCGCCTTGGTTTACAGCCTGCAGAGCACGAGTTCCCCCAGAATCATAATGCTCAGCCACGACAATGTGAGCATCCCATGGGGCGGGGCGGGGGGATGGCCCCTGCTCTGGCCCCAGCTGGCAGCCTGGGGCCTGCAGGTGACAGCCAGGTGTCCGCAGATCACCTGGACCACCAGGGCCACGGTGCAGAGCCTGAATTGCAAGTGTCCACCTGTCGGGCAGGAGGTGCTGGTGAGCTACCTGCCGCTCAGCTACATGTGCTCGCAGATCCTGGACATGTGGGTGGCCGTCGCCGTGGGTGGCACGCTGTACTTCTCCCCGCAGGATGCCCAGAGACTAGGGGAGGCCCCTCACCCACCTGGCACTGTGAGTAGTAGCACCCAGGGCAAGGGGCTCAGTCCAGGACGGAGGTCCTTGCCCTGCAACCTACTGGCTATATGACCTCGGTCCTTTTCTGTCTGGGCCTCAGTTTTCCCATCTGTGAAGTAAAGCAGGAGAAGCAGATTGTGAACTGTTACCCTGGGAACAGCGCATGTGCGTGCGTACACACACACACACACACACCCCTCTGCACTCGGGAGTGACTTACACACACACCCCTCTGCACTCGGGAGTGACTTCCATTGCGGAAACATAGTCATACCTGACTGACACCTATGATCCAAAGGAAGAATTTGTTGAGTTAGGTTTTTTATTTTAATTTTTGGTTTTGCAAGACAGAGTCTGGCCTTGAACTCAAACAGTCCTCCTGCCCTAACCTCCCAAGGGCTGGGATTATGGTCGTGGCCACCGCACCCAGCACAGAGCGATTTGTGCTGGTGCACAGTGACAGTCTGTGGAGGCCCTGCCCCGCCCCGAGACAGAGCTCGGAGCTGAGGGGCCTGGTGGGGAGAGCTGCTCCCTGCATGGCGGTTAGGAAGTAGAGCCGGGCGGGTGCTGGTGCAGAGACAGAGCCTCCGGCATCCTGATGGCTGGTCAGTGGCGGCCCTGAGGCTGTCTCCTTCCACGAGCCCCACCTCTGAGCACACACCTGAGGTGAAGCTTCGGGGGATAGCTGATCCAAGCCCCTACGGACAAAGCGGGAAGTGCAGGAAACTAAGTAGAGGCCCTGAACTGGAGTGGGCCTGAGTCACACACAGGCGGAAGGTGGCCTGGGAACCGCGGTGTGGTCCTCCACACAGGTGGGGGGGGGGTGGCACCCACCTGCCATCCCAGGACTGCAGACTGGGCCAGGAGGACGGAGGGTTCCAGCCTGGCACGGGCAGCGTAGCAGTTAGGCAGATGCAATCTCTCAATAAAAAACAGCAGAAGGGCTGGGGCTGGACCTTGCTGTGAAGGCCCTGGTGCCATCTGTAGTACAGAAAGAGAAAGAAAGAAAGAAAGAAAGAAAGAAAGAAAGAAAGAAAGAAAGAAAGAAAGAAAGAAAGAGTGCAAGTGAGTGAGCCAAAAGAGAGGAAGAAATAAAAAATGAAGGGAGGAAGAGACAAAATAAAGAGAAAGAAAGAAGGAAATAGAGAAAAAAGAAGGGAAGTAAAGAGAGGAAGAGAAAGAGCAAAGAAGAAAGGAAAGAGAAAACAGGAAGGAGAGGGAAAGAAAGAAGGGAGAAAGAAAGAGAGAGAGAGAGGCTGGCGAGAGCTCAGCAGCACAAGCACCTGCCTGGCAAGCACAAGGTCCTGAGTTTAATCTCTGGTATCCCACCAAAAGAAAGACAGAAGAGAGAGAAGGGGAGAGAGAAAGGTACAAAAAGAGAGAGAAAAGAAGGTCTGAGGTGTGGCTCAGTGTGGCTGGAGTTCAAGGCTGTGTTGCTCACGGTGCAGAGCCACCCAGGCAGGGACACACACCTCAGGGTCCCACTCCCAGGAGGCCCAGCATTGGTCAGAGCCACAGAGACAGAAAGAGGACAGGCATTATGGGCTGGGTGGAGACTGGGGACAGGGTCAGCTTGGGGAGCTGGAAGGTCTTGGAGGTGGATGGGGGATGGTGCACAACCGTGGGGTGCACTTGATGCTGCTGAATTGTACCACTGGAAATGTTAAGACTCGCCAGCCAAGATGGTGCACATCTAGAGTCCCAGCTCCTGGGAAGGCTGAGGCAGGAGGATCACTTGAGCCCAGGAGTTCAGCACTACCCTGGGCAACAACAAGAACAGCAACAGAACAGGTTAACATGGTGAATTTCATTTTTCTTTTCTTCTTCTTCTTCTTTTTTTTCCTGTGTAGATTTTACCACAAAAAAAACCCCTAGTACACGAGGATACCAACCTACACAGTGAAACCACAGACATGGGGCTTACTGAGTAGAAAGCCATACATTTCCTGCCACGCAGGAGCGGCTGCAGTGAGCCCTTGCCTGGTTTGTGTGAGGCCCTGGGTTCGTTCTCCCAGTGCCGCAAAATTTTTAAAAATCCAGAATTCCACAGACATGAACACGTTGGAATTTCACATCAGTTTCACGTGCCATGATGTAGTGTTCTGACTGTTTTTTCAGCGTTGGGGATGAATCCAGGCCCTTCGCATATACTGAGCAAGTGCTCCCCAGAGCTGCGCAACACAGCCATTTTCTGTGGGTTTTTGTTTTGTTTTGTTTTGTTTTGTTTTGTTTTGTTTTGTTTTGTTTTGAGCCAAGGTTTCACTATGTGGTCCAGGTTGGCCTTGAACTCACTATGTGGCCTAGGTTGGCCTCAAACTCGCAGTGATCCTCCTGCCTCAGGCTCCCCTGGGTTGGAAGCCAGATCTGTGCTCACCACACTTGGGGGTTTTGGCATTTAATTCAAATTTTTTCCGTTTTCATTGACATAGAACAACACATCGATGGAGTACGAGGTGACTGACAGTTCCATACACAGACACAATGTATAGCAAGAAGTCAGGGCAATTTGCATTTCTGTCTCCTTAGTTTGTTAAAACCCACACACAAGTCCCTGACAGCAGGGACGCATGGGGCGCAGGCAGACTAGGGTCGAACGCCATGCTCACACTCTGTCCTTGCTTCCTGGTACTTTGCTTGGGACCACTGCAGGGTCCTTTCTGGTAACAGGAGGTTAGAACAGAGCTGCACAACCAGACTTGACTCCACAGCCCCTGCCTGCCTGGCCTCTCCCTCCTTGTGGTTTTGTCTCTGCGTCTCTCCCTCCCTCTGTGTCTCGCTCCTCTTCCTCTTCCTCCTCCTTTTTCCTCTCCTTTCCCCTCTTCTTTGCTTCCTCTGGTCTGGCTGTTCCTCCTCTTCCCTTCTCCATCCTGTTTTTCTCTCCTCACCCCTGTCCCTCTCTTCCTCCCCCATTTCCCTATCCCTTTATCTTCCCTTCTCTCCTCACCCAGAGCTGGGGTACAGGCCAAGCTGGTTACTGCTTCTTGGCCGCCCTGTGGAGTGGCTGGGGGACACCGCAGAGCCCGGGTCACCACAACCCAGCCCTGCATCTCCTGACCTGCTCCTGGTGTGGCCCCTGGGTGCAGGACCCCACACGTGTGGCCCTGGAGTGGACACTGTCTGGCCTACAGGGCTACCTGACGGACCTGCTGCGGGAGGTACAGCCCACCACATTCCCAGGCACCCCGTGGGTGTGGGACAGGATGATGGATGGCCTCAGGACCAGCCAGCTGGCGTCCACAGCGCTGCGTAGGCGCCTCGACATGTGGGCCATGGACGTGGGACTGAGTACCAACAAGAAGCGCATGTTCGGGTGAGGCGGGGCGGGTCCCGGGGTGGTGTGGTGGGGAGTGGCCAGGCCCTGTGACCAAGCCGGGCTCACCCGGTCTGCTGCTCAAGGGACCTGCATTCCTCGCTGAGCTTCCGCCTGGCCAAGAAGCTGACCTTCAGTCGTGCCCGGAAGCTGCTGGGCCTGGGCCGCTGCGAGCAGTTCCTCAGCGTGGGCACGGGGCTGTCCAGGGGCACCCTGGACTTCTTCCTCAGCCTCGACGTCCCCATCTATGAGCTCTACGGCCTGTCTGAGAGCACGGGCATCCACACACTCGCCTCGCGCCAGGACTTCCGGCTGCTGAGGTGGGCTGGCCAGGGCGGCAGGACCACAGGGGCAGCGGTACAGGGCTGGGTCCCCTGGGGCCCTCTGGCCTGGATTTGCAAACCATGATTTTATTATTATTATTATTATATTATTATTTTATGTATTTGGCACAGGGTCTGCAGGGTCTCACTGCGTAGATCAGACTCGTAGTGATTCTCCTATTTTCAGCCTCCCAAGCCCTGGGACTACAGGAGTGTGCCACCACGCCCAGTCTCAGTTGCCTTCTCAGCGCGCCCCGGGGGTGGGGCCAGCACTGCACCCTGGGGATCGAACCCCAGCCGCTGTGCTCTGCCTAAGCAGACGCTTTAGTTTGCTGAGCTATCTGGCTGGCCCTGCAAACCATGATTTTGACTGAAGGAGAATTATTTGGACACCCTGGTGTTTCTTGCAAGAACGATGGTATTAATCTATCTGCTCTTAGGTGGATGTGGTGGTGCACACCTGTAACCCAAGCACTCAGGAGGTCGAGGCAGGTACAAATACTGTAATTAAGCCCGGGGCTTAATTTGTACCTTATGCAAGCAAGCTAGGCAAGTGCTCTGTCACTGAGCTGCTCCTCCAGGCCTTTTTATTCTAGGACAGGATCTCGCTAAGTCACTTCATTGCCCAGCCTGGCTCAAACTCATGGTCTTCCTGCCTCAGCCTCCCAGATGGCCAGTATGTTTTGTAATCTCTCAAGGAGAGGGTTTGATTAGTAATTTCCAGGCAGCTCATTGGCTGGGCAGAAATCCTAATTTGCAAGCCCACTCTTGGGTGTTAATTTGCAAGGTTGTTGATTAGGGTGGGGAGGTCTGACCAGTTGTTCACACAGGCCTATGGGAACATCTAAGGCTTGACCCTGACCAGGCTGTGTGTGACCTCCAATAACCTCTCTACTGTACTTTTGGGCTAGCCCTAATCACTCACATTCTGTCATATGGGCTTGGAAGTGGCAGCCTTCTCACTGGGTCCTCATTTGTCCAGAGAGATAGCCAGAGTTCTCTGGGATGGCTAGTAAGGACACTAATCCCATCACAGGCGCCTCAACCTCCTAACCTTGTCCAGCCCTAATCCCCCTCCCAATGGCACACCTACCTTCAAGTACCACCCCATTGGAGTTAAAGACTCAGTTTACCAATCTTCCCCTTCAGAGCATAGCGTCATGCATCACGTGTGTTGGTCTGGTGCAGATTTTGTCCCTGCTTTTCTGTACTAGAGATTGAACCGAGGGGCTCCGCGCTGAGCTCCATCCCCAGCCTTTTTAAGTTTGAGAGAGGGTCTCACTAAGTTGCTAAGTTGCCCAGGCAACTTACATGGTCCAACTTACAATCCTCCTGCCTCAGCCTCCCAGGACCTGGGGGGACCTGGGATGGCAGGTGTGTACCACCACAGCCAGCTCAGGCCCAGTTTAACTCCCTCTTTGCCCCCATCTCCAAAAACCTTGGGCAAAAGCAGGACTGGTGTGTGTGTGGGGGGGTCTGGGTGTCCTGGTGGAGACCCGGCCCCAGTGGTTGTGGTGGAGAGCTGAGCCTCTGGTGTCCTGGGGCACAGGCCTGGCCCCTGCCCCTCTTTTGTCCCCTGCCTACAGGCTTTGGGCAGCAGCCGGTTCTCCCCACTGTGTCCTAGCTACCCTGTGTCACCCTGGCCCCTGGGGCTGGGTGTGCTGCTTCCCTGTCAGCCCAGTGTGTGGCTCTCACCCAGTTGGGGTTAGGGAGTCCCTGCCCCATGGAGGAGCGTGCAGCTGGGTCTAAATTCCCCCTCCATCCCCCAGCTGTGGGAAGGGGCTCCCCAGCACCCGCACCAGGGTGAAGGAGGAAGATGAGGAGGGCATCGGCAGCATTAGCCTCTGGGGCCGGCACATCTTCATGGGCTACCTCGGCGACAGTGAGAGCACCACGAAGAAGACGGACGGCCACGGCTGGCTGCACACGGGAGACCTGGGCTTCTTGGATATTGACAACTTCCTCTACATCCGGGGCAATGTCGGGGGTGAGCAAAACAGGGCCCGGGCCCACGGGGCTGCTCTGGACAGCGGTGCAAGCTGAACACAGCCCAAGACCAAGACAGGGCTGACGTCCAGCGAGGAGGAAGGGACCCCTCCATAGAGAGGAGCTCCAGCTCTCAACTCGCCCCGCCCCGCCCCGCCCCCACCCCACCCCACCCCAATCCACTCCGCACACATCC